AACGGTTTTGTCAAAGCATTGAGCATTGGTTTTGTTTAAAATAACCCGTATTGCTGAAATAATAAGTGCTCAAATTGCACCGCATGTTTCGGTAATTTATAAATATAATATGTAGAATATTATTATCATATTGAGCGCCTCGAAATAATATCATGTTTAATTCCTAAATAAAGAGTATTCAAATAATAAACTTCATAATTGTTTTTTTGTATAAAAAATCTATACACTGGACTAGTTTGGAAATAAATTTTCCCTGTTTTGGAAACAAGAAGGATCATCCGTTTTATTTAATATTTAACTGGCATAGTAATTGCATTATGCAATTTTTAAATTTAGTGTAAACAAATTACACTGTTACTGAAAAGTGTCTTTCTACTTTTGAGTAATTTATTTATGTTTTAGACGCCTCCATTATATGTCTCCATGTTCGTTTAACAGAATATATTCTCATAAATAATAAAATTATGAACAAAAATAATATAATCCTTTATTCCATAATATGTACAAATCAGGTAGAATATTAATAGGAGTCAAAATTTACTTTTTTAAATTTATTTTCCAATATTATTCAGATTTCGCAATAAATTTACTCCTAAAGATAAAGTCGAAGTCAGTGTTGCAACAAATATCAATAATTTTATCGATACATTCAATAAGTATAGATTTTATTGATGATTATACGACACAAACGGGAAGCAACGTTCAGTGGCATTCCTTCTCAATATAAGATTTCCCGCTGTAGATTCAATCAGATGTTTGTAAACTACTTTAACCGAACAAATAATTTCGGATAAAGCCCAGATCTTTTTATTATTCGAAGATATTATATCATAATAATGTATCGATATCATTGTTGAACTATCGACATTTTCACAACACTATTGGGGCACACAATGATGCTATAATGTGCCCGCCCTAATGTTTTAGTCATAGCCGAGATAAATCAATGAAAAATATTAATAACAAAACAATTAACAAAAAAAGACTGTAAAAAATAAAAATTATTTTCTTTCGTTATTAAGAATGTCGTATCACAGATTTTAAAGTGTGTCCCATTAGCACCTTTATTTAAGAGTGACTCATCAACATTAAGCTATGGTGCAGTTTGCTGTGCTGTGCTATGCTAATTTAAGATGTCATTCCTTTCGTCATCCGCGACTGGGTGCCCACCGAGAGTCCCGCGAACTCGAGTAGCGTAGGTATGACTCGCTTTCCGACCGCTTGTATGAAGATAGAATACTGTATAGATAATATTACCGTGACTTATGTGAAACGAGACGACTTTTCAAGGAATCTTTCTGTTAGGTTACGGACGAAGTCGCGGGTGGCCGGTAGTCATTAATTACAAGAGCACAGCACAGTTACAGTTACCATTTAGGAATTTCAAAAGTCCAAGGACTTTTTAGTCACAAAATGGTACCAACCATTACTCACATAGTTACAATATTACATGGTATTTAAATTATATATATACAGGGTGTAAAAGAACCAATGACAAAAACTAAAACTACGCATTCTGTACACCCAAACAAGTAATATTACAAAATATTATACGTGGGAAATCATTTTTATTTTTAAGTTAAAAATATATTTTTTTTTTCCAGTACGCAATGTATAGCGCGCCGCGCTACTGTGGCGCTACGCAAATAATGTGCCTGTGTGTAAGTGTGTGCGTGTGTGTAAGTGCGTCGATAGAACGCGCTTCTCCACTACCTAGCGGGAGTATTATGTACACAAAATTACTTGATTATTTACTTCCAAAGTTCCTACATTTAAAAACAGCCCTTATGGAATTTGTTTAGATTTAGAGCTACGTAAGTACTTTTACTACTTACCGACTACTCGACCTCGTCTGGAATCGGCCGCTCGAACCGGATAAGTTGTGGCTCGAACTGGCGACCTTCCACATGTAAGCAAACGCGTGCCCGGTACAGCGTATTTTGATGGACGCGCTCCAGTATTCCTTCCCGTACAGACCGATATTTCAGTTCTTCAAATACGTCAATAATTTTTTGACGCATTTGATCACTAGTCTGACAGGGGCGGTCAAAAACACGGTCTTTGACGAAACCCCACAGGAAAAAATCCAAAGGCGTCAAATCAGGCGAACGCGCTGGCCACGCGTGCGGCCCATTTCTGCCGATCCAGTGGTCTCCGAACAGCTCCGTCAGCCGCTGCCGAACTGGTCTTACGATGTGAGGCGGTGCACCGTCGTGCTGGTACCAAGTATCCCGCAACTCGGCCAGCGGCATGTCGTCTAAGGCCTCCGACAAATCGGTGTCAATTAAATTTAAATAGGCGGCCCCGTCCACTCTAGGCGGCAAAAAAACGGGACCGAGGATCCGGTTCCCCACAATGCCTGCCCATACGTTGTGTTTCCACCGCGCCTGGAAGCCCGTTTCTTGAGTCTGGTTGGGATTTTCTGCAGACCAGTAATGAGCATTTCGACGGTTCCACATGCCATTATTAGTGAATGTGCTTTCATCAGTGAAAATGATGTGTCGAACAAAACCTCGATCTTGTCTCAACAGCCACTGACAATAAGCCATGCGGCGCTGGGCGTCGCCTGGTACCAGTGCTTGCACGCGGTGGATTTTATACGGCCTCTGCCTGTCCCTTCTTAAGACTTTATGCACGGTGGTATGGGACACTACATGTCGACCGCGATGGCCATGCCTTCTACGCAAAAGTCTAGCTGCCGTTCGAACGCCTAAACGTGGGTTTTCCCTCATTACGTCTAAAATGGCTTGTTCCGCCGCAGGTCGTATTTGCCCGCGCCCGCCCTCCGAAACTGGCACTATCGGCTGATTGTCCAGCAAACGTTGTACAGCCCGAACAAAAATACGTGCATCACCCGGGTGATTCGCCGTGGGATATTCAGCCCGATACAGCCGCAGAGCTTCGGAAGAGTTTCCACGTGCTCTCCCGTAACAGAGAACCATGTTTACGTACTCACGAGCAGTATACGTTTGGTTAGGCATCTTCTAACACACACACACACACTTTCACGTTCACAAATTATCACTTAATTGAAATCGCACGAGATAACAATAAAAATCGCAAATTTGCAATTTGAAAAGCGCATTCGATGACCTAAGAAACCGAACTGGAGAGCGGCGCGGGCGCGGGCTCGGTAGAGATAAAAAGAGACGATAGTGCCATCTTCTTCTTTCAGTTCACCGCCGACGCCGCCGCGCCGGCCGGCCGGCGTTGCATTGCCTAGGTTATACCTACTGACCAATTAACAATTAGATAATACGTAGATAATTACCTACATAACGGACATTGTGTTACGCATCGGTAGCGTTTTTTATCATTTTCCATAAATAATTTACGTATTTTTTAAAACATTACAACACTAGAATTTAATTTAGTACAGGTAGGTACTATAAAAAAATGGGAATGTAAAACCGGGAGGAAACATTCATTCGTTTAATCTTCGTTGACTACGGATCCTTCCGAATTAAAAACGATTAATGTTCTTGTATTAGTATCGATTCATAGCAAGCTTCCAAAATAATTCGAATTGGTACAATCGTTAAAAACAACAATACTTAACACGTTTATGGGATAATAAAGTTACTTTTATTTAAAATCCAAGTAAAGTATGAATAATGGCTGTAATTTATTTATTTATTTAATCTGTATTGCCTTTACACTGCAAATGGCGGACTTAATGCCAATATGGCATTCTCTACCAGTCAACCGGAAAGAACTTACAGAGCTAGAAAAAAAACGGCAGAATCTAATTAAGTAATTGATTGCTAAAAGATATGGAACTTTGTTTATTTACTGGAATCAATCGAGTTTACAATTGTATTGGACGTCAGTATGTCCTGACGTCCACGAAAAAAAAATCCTAAGCGAAAGTGCAAAAATTAACACTAAACAATCAACATTGCTAGTGTTAAATTGTAAGGCGTTTTAGATTTGGTAAGTATCTTAGTTTCATTTTAATTACTATCGAAAAGACGTTAAATTTTTTTTGCGGTAGAGAGGACGGAATGTAAGGAATGACGAGCCTGTTTTAAAATATCATTTTGTCACCTGTTTAGATGGTACTTTAACTTTTTAATGAAACATAGCTCATTCCTCCGTAGGTAAGGTATTTTAAGAGAGGTAGGGCACAGCGGATTTTCCGCTTGAAATGGAGCGCCCGTCTGGTGAAGCAATCTCCACCTTTTGGTGGTGTTGTATTTCTGTTGGTGAGTAAGGTTCCAGGGCTTTGCGGGGTAGAGGATTGCGTTCAGGCCGGCAAGGTGAGGATGGCTAGAGCGAACACTTTCTGCCGCATCATCTTTCTTCGCGATTGGACTCCACTTACACTGAACATCAGGTGGGGTGTGGTAATTCGTTGCGCCTCGTGTAAAAAAAACCTTCCTGTTATTATTAACATTTTTTTTTGATGATTATGGCAATGTTAACCGTTATGGAAAATAAAAGCCAGAAGCATGGTTTAGTTTGTTACATAAACAATAAAAAATTTGGGAATCTACTTGAGTTTAAAAAAAAATATGGCTAGTGTAACTTTCATTTTAATCAAATGTTTTTTAAGCAAACCTAATAAGGGGTAAATGACTAATTTACGCATTTCGTTTTAATAAGTGGTTGGATTAAACCCCGGTGTTGACTAGGCACGTTCGGTTGTTGACCTACGTGGCAGCTGATACGAGCGCGGGCGCGGGGCGCGGGCGCGGGGCACAGCGCGTCGGTGCGTGTGCATGCGTTGCTGTACATTTCTCGTTGTAAAGACAAAAGCCTTATTATGGAAGAAATACTTAAAAAAAAAATTATGTTCCTCAGGAAAAAAGTTTCTAAATAACGTTTAGAAAATATTAATGTAAAATTCTTGAAAAAAAAATTGTGACTTTGACCTCCAATATCTCCCTAACTATAAATTTCCCAGGTATGGTCCAGAAGAAAAAAATGATCGTCATGATGTGGAAAATACGTGGCCTTCGGCTTCGTTAAAGGTTTTTTTACACCCTGTATAATATGAACATTCATTATTCATATTTAACGTAATTTAAAAAATCCGGACATGTCCGGACTAATCCGGACGTATGGTAACCCTAAGCAAAGCTCAATTTTGATTGGTCACTCTTATACAGTTGGAGTAACAGAGAAAAGTTTCGAGATCTAAATATTGCGCTTATAGGAACGATTAAAGTCTATTTGAAACCAATTTAAGGTGTGAGAATGTACTTTTTTCGGGCCGTATGTCCCTAACGGGGTGACATAGCAATAGGGGTACATTACCATAACAATATACAAAAGTATAAGGGTCATTTGCGTTTGATGAGCAGCGTTTGACATTAATGCACCTTTCGTCACTCTCCCAGCCCGTTATAGGTCGTCACATTATATTCGCATGTTGTGATAAACGGCTTTTTTTTACTATTATTTGAAAAACACTACCCTCTTTTCTCGAAGTCGGGCAAAAATACAGTTCACTTTCTCAAAAGTTGGTTTAAAATTTGATTTTTTCGGGTTTGAGATTCTGACACTGTTTGTGATAATTATATTGTGATACATAAAGCTTTATTTGTATAGTTTGAGATGTCTGTTAACAATTTCTCAGTGATGGGAATACAATGAGAAAGACAAAGTCTTTTGATGAATCATAAAATTTAAGCTACTTGGGTGCCCTGAAGTCCTGGGCCCAATACCCTACCCTGTGGAATCCTGGAACCTTACCGACAGTAACACAACAACGCCAAAAGATAGTATTATTTTATTGTGTATTTTTGTATGAAGAAGTTATAAAGGTAAAATTGACATGGTTTTTTCTGAAGCAATACGATTGAGTAATTATGAAGTAATGGGCCGGCAAGCATTCCCAATTGATAAACCCAGTATCAAAAGTGTCGTTATTGAGACGTGGTTAAATACTTCATGTTCGAACAGGAGCTCGATGGCGCAAGTGATTAGCGCGTTCGGCTACGATCGTTGAAGTTAAGCAACTTTCGCAGTGGTCGGTCATTGGATGGGTGACCAAAAATTTACTATCTCGAGCTCCTTCGTGCTTCGGAAGGTAATTTAAGCCGTTGGACCCGGCTGTAACTGCAGTCGTTAGCACCCACCAATTCGCACTGGGCCTGCGTGGTGGGTCCATGGCCCCAGTCTTCCTATTCCATCCATAGGGAAGGCCTGTGCCCCAGCAGTGGGGACATTAATAGGCTGATGATGATGCTATACTTCATGTTATCACTATCTTTGTCTCATTCCATCGACGCTGTTAAGAAGATTAAAAATTACTTATTCATTTGACAATGTATCACAATATAATATACCACAAAGTTCAAAATCGAAGATCGATCAGAGATTTTAAGGCATGGCCATTAAACATCGTCAAGTATTAGAGAGGCCGCCGCTTCTCAACTTTGACGTGAAATCATTTTGTTTGTCATTAATGAGACCATTTTTCGTGGAATCATCGTTCAGCAACGATTTATTATTTACGTGTGCTTTATCGACAAAACCGTTAATTGTAATATTGTTTAGTTTATTTTCGATTTTGTCTGTATCATCATTTACAATTTTAACTCCATCGTTCATTGATACATCATCATGTTTCTGGCCTTCATCATTAACTGCAACATGGTTATCATTAATGTGAACACAATCATTATCATTAACACGAACACAGTCATTAACCAAATCGTTACCGTGAACTTGGTTTTCTTCCCGTTTTTCTTCTGCTTCTATCCTAGCCTTCTCTTCTTGTTCTTTCTTCACCTTTTCTTCTTCTTCTCTAGCTTTCTTCTCGGCTAGTTCTTTTCTCTTCTGGGCGTTCCACCAGGGCATGAATCGTTGGAACATGACACGGGACCGGTGTCTCGGCTGCAGCACCCAAGATACTGCCATATCAACATCGGCGATTCTGTAAGAGAGAATCACAAAGGTGATCAAAGATGTCCTGAATGGGGGGTAGGAAAAAATATTGGACGATTCAAAATAGCTTTCAATAAGTCAATTTGAATAAAGTATAATTTTATTTAATTTCATTTATTGATTGCAAATATAGTACAAATTGTTGGTATTAGCAGCGATTTTACTATTCTCAGAGAGCAAATAATTAATAACTTTTCTTAAAAAACATTAAATGGAAATTCTTTTTTTTGTTCTATAGTCACGTGACTGAAAACGCATGGGAGTGGCAGACTAAAATAACGTCACACGCTAGTAAACATCCGGCTCAAAGTGACATTACATTGTATCGATTGACGTTTCAATAATAGTCGTGAGACGTCACATGGTGCGACGTCGTAGGCCCGTATTATATATAGAAAGATTCTCAGTGATTGATTGATCTAGTCCTGAGCATAGTTAGAGAGGGATGTCGCTATATATAGCACATAGCGACATCTGTAGATCAACACTTAGTTGTCATTCTGTAATACGGGCCTTAATGTCCATCCAGTGAATTATTTTCGCGGCAGCTTGAAAATTGAATTATTGATTTAGTTTAGGGATTCGAACCCGGGGACCTCTCGAGTCGGCGACACCATGAAACCCGGCGTACAAACCCCGAAGGTCGTCAACGCGCTCTTAGAATGAAAGTTATCTAACTATTTCTGACTTTCTACTATTCAATTCAATCTTAATACTATTCAATCTTAAAAAGCATACACAAAGTATGCTTTTTACCCTGTGAAGAAAAATAAAAATTTGCTGATTAAAGTTTTTGACTCAGATTAGGGTATTTGACATGTTTAGTAGTCCATAAGAAGTGGATATTCATCATTCTGTTATGTATTTCAGTAAAAATAACCAAATCAAAAACTCCATTTTCGAGTTGCCGCGAAAACGTTTCTCTGGACAATATGGCGTCTTACTAGTGTGTGACGTCACACGACTGTTATTAAAACGTCAAACGATACAATGTAATGTCACTTTAACCGGAAGTTTACTTGCGTGTGACGTCATTTTAGCCTCCGCCAATCAAAAGCGTTTTGGGTCACGTGACAATAGATAAGAAAACTGTTATCTTTTTCGTTAGTTTTTAGTAAAATTATGAATCTTCTTTTTTGTAAAAATAGTAAAAACCCCTGCCAATATTCATTCTAAACACAGATGCTAACAATTGGCACTTTATTTTTAACACTGTCAAATACCCTATTATAACAAACAATCTAACATTATTATAAATTGTGAAACTTTTCTAGTCTGTTCTTAAGGTTCCGTACCCAAAGGAACTCTACTGCTGTCTGTAAACTGTCGTCTGTCTGTCTGTAAACGGAAAGAGTTAGAGGACTGATATTTTGTAATTTTATGTAAAAGTTCGTACATAGTGCGTTATGTTGCATTACAGCACTCTTTCTATATCATCATCATCAGCTTAATTATATCCCCACTGCTGGGGCACAGGTCTTCCCTATGGATGGTATAGGAGGATTAGGCCGTGACACACCACGCGGGCCCAGTGCGCATTGGTGGGTGCTAACGACTGCAGATGCAGCCGGAACCAACGGCTTAACACACCTTCCGAAGCACGGAGAAGCTCTAGATAGTAAATTTTTGGACACCCATCCAATGACCGACCATTGCGAAAGTTGCTTAACTTCAACGATCGCAAATCCTCCATCTATATACTCAAACCAATGTTATAAATCTCACCTCCTCTTAAACCTGTCCCTGTCGAGTGCGCACCGCTCCCAGTGCCCCGCCCTCGCCTGGCGGGCCGCAAACGCCCAGACGCGCATCACGTGCACTTTGGGTGGGTCCGACGAAAAGCGCACCTGGAAACAAATAACGTAATCTTATAATAATTGACATGGTTACTACTATATAAATAAAAAAAAACAGTGAAAACTTAAGTATTAACGTTGTGCATTTTTGATATTTTGGAATGGTTAGGAAATAATTTTGCACGAATTGCTTTAATTATCAGTATAAAAGTACTATCATGTATGTGGTAGAATACAATATTTATTTATTGCGCTATTTTACACAAACATGACAATTTATATTACATTAAAAAAGTTTAGCTCTCAGAAAAATCAACTTACATGAATCACGTTTAAGCGCACTTAGCGACATCTATTGCAAAGAAATCAACTTACATGAATCATATTTAAGCGCATCTAGTGACATCTATTGTAAAAAAAAATGCATTTTCTTCGCAATAAAGCTGGACGTGGGTGGACTTCCTAGATAGAGACTTATTATTATAATACGATAAAATAAAATATTACTATGTTTCGTCCAATATATTGTAAGTCAACAACCTTTCCAATTTTATTGTGTGTCATGATGCGATCAGCCCACGTGTTTTACCTGACGTGAGTTTAACATTTTATACCCGTACAAAAAAAAAGTGTACAACGCCGCTAAAGCAGTTTTCACTTCAATAAATAAATAAATAATTAAGGTAAGTATTTCCAACACTCGCACCAATTATCCTAGCCCCAAAGTAAGCACTGTAAGGCTTGTGTTATGGGGATACTAGGGTAACGGATGGAATACATATATAAGTATATTTATATAGAAATGTCACACAAACATCTGCCCCCACCGGGACTCGAACCCGGGACCTTTCGAGTCGGCGACACCACGAAACCCGGCGTACAAACCACTCGGCCACGGAGGTCGTCTAATAAATAGCTTTTCGTTTTGAGTCCCCGATATCCCGGCTCTGTCCGGCAAGCGCCATGATCACGGAGAAACTGAATAAATTGCCCGTAGATGTTAATAACGATAATCTAGCCGTTAAATGCTTAAAAAAAAAAAATATTATATAAAACTAGTTTTACTTGTCGAACAGAACAGAACAGAATCAAACTTTTTTGTATCCCAAGTGAAAAAATGACCCAAAAGTCAGACAGTGGCGAGTAATAAAAAAATCTGACATAGGACAAATTACTGCAGAACGAAAAAAAGACAGTTCGGGATGTTTATATGACGATAACAGCGATGTCGACGACGAAACTGCATGCATAGAAAGTGAAGAAAATGAATTCACAACTGTTCTTCATAACGAAGACAGTGTGTTTACGACAGATAATGTTTAAACAGATTTATTTGTTTATTTGCACTTAATAGGGAAGAACTTAATGCCTGTGTGCCACATTTCATCCAAACAAGTTGGCCCACAAAAGTGGATGATTATGTAACAAACATACCAAACACATTTATAATCTTATATAAATAGTAAATAATATAATAACAACGTATTTATATAGTTATTATAGTATAATATTTAAAAAGTAGCATAACTACGTTTTCAAAATTAAGTCTTCAAAATGTGGGACATTGTCCCACATTTAAATGCTTAATATTTCCGATATACCACCGAGTTAAAGCTTGTTATTTTTTGAGTTGATAGTCTACATTATTAGCTACATTTTGAACTAAATTATAAACTTTAATATTGCATAACATGAGCACAAAAAATTAAAAACGAAAATCACTAAATCGCCGATTTCTCGGTTCCTACATGCTCTAGGGCAGCCATAGAAGACTCATAATATGGATAAAAATAATACCTTTTGAAATACAATGTAAAAAATAAAATAACTGTAATAGTTTAGACAAAATATTTTTTTTATTTCCTTTTCACAATGTGGTACAAAAAAAGAAAAACCGGGATTTCGTCGTAACTATTATAGTTAGAATCGTGGGAGTTTTACTCTTGCGCTTAGAATGAAGAGCTTTATCTGATTCACCTTTAATCAAGGGAATGGTAATTTTGAGGTGAAATAACACAATGTGCGACGTAGCCTGTAAAGGCTATGAAACGTCAATAAATAAATAAAGTTTCGTGCATTAACCCGTAAAAACTAGTTTTATTTAATGAGTGATGTGCGTGAAAACCTAAGAAACAAATAAATAAAATATTATTAAATGAAAGTTAGTGCAAGCCTGATAACTAAATAAACATTTGTGTCTTTGCTATAATAAACAATACAGTTTCTTAGCGGGCACAAAGACAATGTTGTAGAAGACGCAAAGAATGCCATTGTCCATTGTGATTGGTTTGGACAATGTGTCAACTGTCTTTTATGCCGCTTTAGATAAACAGATAAAGACAATTATGCATGCCATTCTTAGTTCTAAGTAGAGATGGGCCGACTAGTCGGGAAAGACAACTATTCGGCATCGTTTATAGTCGGCGACTATTCGGCAAAACATGCCGATTATAATCGGCACATAAAATGAAATATAACTTAAAAATTATGCTTGTTTTGAATCTTTGAACAGTACCTATAGTATGTATTTAAAGTTACCTACAGTCTTAAAATATATAAAAAAAAAGGTAACAATGAGAATTAGGAACTTAGGAATCTGTCAGTAATTCAGTTAACTTAACACAATGAATATCGAAAATAACAAAATAGTATTTTTTATACATAGGTCCGACATATGATTCCACCCCACCTGATGTTAAGTGATGGTGAAGTCCAGACGTGAAGATAGCTGGTACAGCAGTTCTACCTGCCACACCAGCCGTCCTCACCTTGCCGTCCTGCATGTTGCTCCTTCACGCCTCTTTTAAAGGATCCCAGGTTGTAAGAAGTAGGGAACACGCGAGCAGGCAGAGCATTCCATTTACGGATAGTGCGACAAAGAAATGAGTCACCAAATTTCTTTGTACGCGTTGGAATTGTGGCCACAGTTAGACGGTGACAACGAAGGCCAGCGCGCGTGGTCCTCTGAAGGAAAGGGGAAGGTGGAATAAGAGACAATAACTCTTTAGAACACTCGTCGTGGTACAGACGATAGAACGCGCTTAGTAACGCAACGTCACGGCGTAATTGAAGAGGCTCGAGGTGTTTAGTCACCGCCTCATCGCCTATGATGCGGATCGCACGCCGCTGTAACCTATCCAAAGCATCGAGCACGTACTTGGCGGAACCATCCCAGAGATGCGAGCTATATTCCACGCAAGACCGCACCTGCGTCTTATACAACTCGGGCGTGAAAAAGCGCCGCACCTTCTTTAGGACAATGGGAAGTAAGTATGTATTAATTGATTAAAATTTTATGTGTTAGTCTTAAAGAAGTCCATAGGTAAAAAAAATCCTTAAAGGCAAATTGTGATGTTGGAATGTGAATATTTCGGCTTCATTTGGGGGACTCGAATCGTGCGTGAGCAAGCTGAGTAGTGGCGAAATATTTCCTAAGATAGGTATTAGAACGACCGGCATTGCAGAAAAGTCGGCCGACTAGTCGGCAATTCGAAAACCCATTAGTCGGTTAGTCGGCAAATACTAGTAAATAGGTAGTCTTTTAACATTACTGGAGTTAAATAAGCATATACTATTATTGGCTTAAAAACACCGAAGAAAAGAGATATGAGCTTGGTAGTTAGGTAGGTACTTATAAATATGATGTATGTACAAATAAGCATTAAAATATGTGTAGTAGTTATAACATCTGCCACTAGATGGCGTTGTACCGACATAGATCGCGGTAAATTTTCCTGTCACCGTTTCATAAATAGGTAATTCAGAACGAATAAACCCAAATCGTCATTATCTACCTCTTCTGACAAATGTTTGTGTCGCACAATGGTAATGGAGTTACTAAGGCACGCTCATATGCATTGACAAAATCAATAGCCTAAGGCTAGTAAAAATTCGACACGGCCATGAAGGCCGCGGTAGCGTAATGGTCAGTGCATTCGCCCGGATAGCGAAGAGTGCGGGTACGAGTCCCGCCTGCTGCTTGGGTCCGCGTGGATTTTTTCTTTAGATTTAAACAACTAGCAGTTAAATGCTGAATAAAATATAACTAAAATAAATATTCATTTAAAGGTCTTAGTATACGCTTCTACAATAAAGTCCCTAGCAATATCCAACAATTCAACGTCAATAAAAAAGTTGCTATTAAAAAAGATTTTATAAATAAAGCGTATTATGAGGTATCTGATTATATTTCAGACAACAATGCTTGGGTTGAAAATGTTCCAAACGTTCCAACAGGCTGTAATTATTATGAAAAAGATAACCTAATTTTGTAATTGACACTGTAACAATATAATATTTTGTAAATATTGTTACAAGATTTGACGCTGTGAAGTTTTTTCGCCCGTTTTTCTCCACAGAGCTAAAAAGGTCCTTAACGGGTGGTAGGGAAAAATTATTTATTTATTCATGGAAAAATAACGGCATGTTAGTACAAAGGATAAAACAAAATGAGGTAGCATTGATAAGCCTTACACAGATTACACAAGTACAATCAAACACAATATACTTTATCCAATCTACTCACGAGGCCGTAAATTAATTTAAAACAAAATAAAAACACAGAATTATAAAACTAAGCATAAAGCCATAGTCAAAGAGAAAATAATAATTATTTGAATTAAGTTTTCATGTTCTTGAAGTTATTTTATCTTGCCAGAAACACGTCTACATCACCTGAATAATTTGTAAAGTTTTGAGTTACTCGATTAAAGTAGAAATTCTGTCTATAATTTGTCGAACATAAATCAGTATGGAATCGCAGTCAATAAAATTACGTCTGGGGGCCAATCGCCTAACGGAAATGCTTTGGAAAACGGTAACGCTTACGATTTTATTTTGTTATTTCTAGCCGCCTGAGGTATTGAAATGCCTCGCGATCTTTCTTTTTCTTTTGCATTGGTAATTACAATATTAAAAAATATGAGCGTGAGGTATTCGAAAACCTCAGGCGGCTAGAAATAACAATATAAAATAGTAAGCATTAGCGTTTCCCAAAGCATTTCCGTTAGGCGATTGGCCCCCTGGATTGCTTTGGAAAACGCTATCGCTTA